TTTTAAATTATTTTGTTTAGTTTAAAGAATGTGTTTTCCTGAAGTAAATTTATAAAAGACTAATTCATCCTGAAATGTTTGTTTGATGTATTAGTATTAGCAGAAGTTCCTGTTTATGGTCATTTCAGAGTTCAATGCTTCTCAATCCCTGACCCTGATCAGTAAGGGCTGCATAGATTCGGACCTGTGTGGATCGGCCCTAACTGGATCCATCCTCGGTGTTGCTTTCACCAGCAGCATTACTTGCTGCAACACTGACCTGTGCAACGGAGCCTCCTCTGTCCAGCTGCCTCTGACTGTGGCCCTTTGTGCTGCCATCCTGTCATCACTGTGGGGCTCCTTGGAGTTTTAGTCAGACATGATGTCAATCATTGCTCAAAGCTGATGTAACTAATGCTGAGTCAATAAAAGATTTGTAAAAAAAATATGTTTTTTTCTTACAAATACACTGAAACAGGAGCAGTTAAACAGCTTGTCAGAATATTTGCCAACTGCATTTTATTAGGTCATATGTTTTATTAGGCTTCTTGGAGTTTTAGTCAAACATCATACCAATATACTAACTAATACTGAGTCTGTACTGTCATAATTTATCATTTAGATAAAGATGCACATAAGTTTATTACTGTAAAAAAAACAATAAAAGCTTTGAAATGAATCTTTTTGATTTTTTCTCTCTAAAGCACAGTGAAGCAGGGACTTTAAAAAAAACCAGCAAGGACATTTAAAAACTGCATTTTTGTATAAGATATAATATTTTTAGCTTGGATGTGTTTAACAGAAATTTTATTAAAGAAATATCTATAAATATAGTTAAGCTAATTATTTAGTTATATTGCACATTTGATTAAAAAAACAATTAAATAAACATGGAGAGATTTTTATATTCAACAAAAATTGGCAAATAATTTATTAATAAAAAATAAAAGATTCTCTACAATTAGGAAAGAATTATCCATATTTGGAAAAAAAAAAACTCTGCCAACTGGTTTAAACAAATATAAAATACCATTAAAAATAAAATATGATTGAAGTAATGTCCCACACAAGTTCTATGTTTCACATTTCAACATTCATAATTTAAAGACAATCTAAATAATCACATTTTTAGTTGTGAATTGTATTGTTTTCAATATCTGATGTAGTTGTAGAATTTATCAATTTATTTATGTCTTTTAGTACACATTTCTTAATTAAAGCATTAAAAATCTTTCAGAAGATATTTTACAGACTTCAATATTATCCTTTACTGTACTGTATATACTCCTATAATGTAGAACAGGAGGCCTAAAAGGTCCAGAAAACTAGAAAGAGTTGAATAAAATTTATGTTGGTGCGTAATGAAATATTACACAAATTAGAAATATAAAGCAGAAATTACTTCCTAACCCAGAAGGTACCACAGTACCAAGAATAACTTTTTTTTTCTTTTTGTAGACAGTAAATCTTTGTACCCCAACTTGGCGAGGCATGTTCCGTCTGCATGATACAAGCTTGTGGGATGTTTCCGCATAATTGCTCTGCAGTTTGTCTATTGTTTGCATCAGATCATCTGATAAATCAGGTTGAACCGCTCTGACTACAAGTCATTTCGAAACCAACAACGCCCTCTGGAGGATCACAAGCACATTAAAGTTGCAATTACAGCAGAATATAGTCTTTATGTTGACAATAAATTATTGTATTTTTTTAACCAAAAAAAAAAAAAAAAATATGCATAAAACAAAAACCACATTTGGATTAAACACACTTACTCAAAAAAAAACAGAATACCAAACTTCAGCCTCTAGCTTGGATTTCATTGGATCCCAGTTTAGATCCCACACAGTACACAAACGCAGTACTATTTATATAACCTCATCATATAGAGTACAGTTTACCAACCTTCTTTCATTAGTTAAATAATGTGCTTGTTAAAAAGTTTAGACCGATACTAGATATCTAATGTCTCCCTCTAGTGGTTAGATCGAAAAATGCATCGAAAAATATCAAGAATCAAGAATCTTCGTTGTCTTACCGTAATTAGCAAGCAAAAAAAAAAAAAAAAAAAGAAGCATCTGCAATGATTTATCACAGAAAATAAAATGTTTTGCATCCTTGCAAACGTTATGTATAATTTATTTTTTGTGGTTACAACTCAGATGGATTATTTTGCAAATTGATTAGATGCATATTTCCTTAAAAGGTTAAACATTTCCAAACACAAAACAATTCTTCTTTAGTTTTAATATAAAATATAAAATTATTTGATTTAAGTAAAGTGTTACAATATGCAAAGGTAAAGTTGTTGAAAAGTAAAAAAAAAAAATTAATTAAATAAATAAATGAAATCTGTCGTGAAAAACAAGTACCTTTTTTTGGGTAGTAATAGTTATCTCAAAGCACAAGTTTTCCAGATTACTAAGATCTTCTTGGTGAGAATTTCAAAATGTTTCAGGTGTTCAAGACTGTCCAGAAAGTTCCAAGAATTTTCTCTTCCCTTTAAAAGCAGAGCAGGAAACTCCTACCACCAGTGCTGAGCAGAGCTTGCTTAACCATGGCAGCAGATGCATGTGAATTTGAGCAAAGGATGATTCAACAGCTGGTTTGTGTCAAGAAAACCAGTAAAAGATATGAAGCTGGCCCTCATCCTCAACTGGTTATGCACATTTGAGTTTGTCTTTTGTTTTTGCATTACATAACTTATACTCACACATACAAATCACTTTCAAGCATTCACACTACACTGCTGAAACCAAAACTTTCAATCCATTATAGTCTTTAATAGATGTGATTTTGTGCACCCATACTTGTGGCATGATCTCCCGTTTTTGTTATGATACTGAGCCACTCATAACACAATTTTACCTTCCGTCTAGGTAGAAATATTTATTTAAACAGATTGCATTCTAGACACATGTATTGCCTAGATGCAGCAAACTGTGTGGCTGCAGTGACAGGAAGTACACCTTGAGATTCCAATTCCAAGTTCTTTAACTTCCCTTTAAATTAAAAGCTCGATATTTTAAACTTTGACACCACTGGATATCCCTACCAGACAATTTATCCTAAACAATAAATCTAAACAGGTTCTGGAACAGGAAAAGTGAGCTAATTTTTAGCCTCTGGGAAGGCCACCACCTTTAACTCTTTTAAACTGCTAAGCCAGGCTCTGACACATGACTAATCCAGATATTTAAGCCTCATGCATACATAGGTTTCTAATACACCAACGTAACCTGGATACATGGACGCCTGTTCAAACCTTGGTTATTAAAGTCACTCACAGAGACAGGATTTCATCTTTAGATATCCCTTCAGATAAATTATTCTTTGATACATATCCCAATGAGACCCAAGAAGAAGAAGAAAGAAAGGCCATCAGAGCCTGGAAATCAAATAAATAAATAAAAAAACACAGTTTTTGCCCATATGAGAGGGAAAATATCCAGTCAGATTCATGTTAACAGCTAACTAATAGCTGCTAACCATTTGCATATCAGAAATATTAGGGCTCTAATCAGCCCTACTCAGACTGATTTAAGATATTTAAATCAACTATGAGCCATAAATCAATGTAACATATCCATATGTGAAATAAAACCTCTCACCGGAAGTGTAGAACCCCCGACTACCACAAGGAGGAGCTAACACCCCCCTAACTTCTGAATAGAAGTATGCATCAGTATAAACAGGGCTTTATAGAGAGATACTGTACACACATAGTAACAACTTTATTTGTAGTGTCAACAAAAACTAAAGTGATGTTTTTTTTATTTTTATTAAAATATTAATATAGGTCACTATTTTTAGTCCTTTCTTTTGGCAAGTAAAAACTTTATTTAAAGGTTGTTAAATTTCGAAATATAATTCGAAAATGAAATTATATATATATATATATAAAGAAAAGAAAAAAAAAGAAACTGAAAATGCTTTGGTATTAATAAGCAGAAACACTAAAAACATCCGCGACAGGAAGTTACAAATTGTCTTATTTGTTTCTGTATGACATAATCCCCAAGGACTTCCTGAAGATCTTCATCGGAAACATCTCAATAAAAACTAAAAACTTCCTTATAAATATGTACAGTTTCTGTTTTCAAATCGATGAATTAACCCCTTTTATTATCTTTTCTCTCCCCTCCAGTATGGAGGACCAACTCTGCCATATTTAAAAATAAATGCTCAATAAATAAATAAGAATACAATTAATTGCCCCAAATATATAATAAACAAATAAATGTAGGTAGAAATTAAATTATACACTGAGACATAAATGTATATATCTCTTTTAATTAGCTTCTTTATTTATTTGCCTTTGTAATAATTACCCTCTAGAAAAGGCATCCCCAAAGTCGGTCCTCGAGGGTCGCTGTCCTGCAGGTTTTAGAGGTTTCCCTGCTCCAGCACAGCTGATTTTAATTGAAAGCTGATTAATAGGCTTTTGCACAACTGCAATCATCGTAATCAGCTATGCTAAAGCAGGGAAACCTCTAAAACCTGCAGGACTTTGGGGATGCCTGCTCTAGAAGTTGACCCCCTCATTTAAAAAGTGAGGGAGAAATGCATACAGAATGGTAAAAACGACAGGCAGAAATAAATAGCATTGAAGAAAGAAAGAGTCAAAATATATAAAGGAAGAATAAAACACACAAAAATAGTATGTCATGCACATAAATAAATACTTAAAAAATAACTTTTATTATAACTTTATCAAATAAATAAAATTGAAGAATATAATGGACAATAAATAAATAAGGTAATTATCACAAAAGCGAATAAATAAAGAAGCTAATTAAAAGAGATATATACATTTATATGTCACTGTTTGATTTAATTTTTATCTACATTTATTTGTTTATTGTATTTTTGTGGGTGATTAATTGAATGCTTATTTATTTATTGAGCATTTTTTTATTTATGTATTTATTTTTAAATCTGGCAGTGTGGGTCCTCCATACCTCCAGAACCGCCTTAGTTTTTCATGCAACTTTCTGCAAGGGCTGTGCACCAGGAAATGGAGGCGCTGCTCTCATGATGATGATGATGATGATGATGATGATTGTGTAGCTGCAGCAGCAGAGTGCAGCAGACCCTGAACTGGGAGGAGGAAATCAGCGGCAGCGCAGACAGAAAACTTTCGGCAATTTTTGGGTAAATGAATCCTGGTTTAACTGTAATTATCCTCTGAGGGCGGGGATCGCTTTGTGAGGCGTTTCCTCTGCTTATGTGGCAGCTTCAGCCTAACTTGTTACTTTGTATCAGGGATTTGCTCTAGCGGAAGATGTGGGCTGAGCCGCGCGCATTTCTGTCTCCAAACTAAAACAGTCCAGATCTTCCTCACTCATCTTTCTCCTTTTTTCCCCCCATCTAAAGGTTGTATTTAGGGTTGAAGATGAGCGAAGCAGAGCAGCCCAGACTTGAGCTTTTCGTAAAGGTAAGCAGCAGAAATGAAAGCCATCACACCCAAAAAGTGACGCGCAGTTGGTGGAAAGATCTACCTAAACTCCTGATAATTACGCACCGCTGTTTATCACAGATTAAAGTGAAGTTTAAACTGGATCCTCTGTTTGTTTTCATGTCAGTCATGACCACCGCTGACTCACCGAGGTCTATAAACCCCTGTAATCTAATTAAACGCACATTAAGACAACATGCGGCGGGTTTTTTGTCTATATTTAGTGTGTTGGTCAGGAAGCGTAGCCGCGTTTTTCTGCGCTATAATAATAAACTCTATTCCTCTTCCTCTCGCACAATGACCGCTCTGTGTCTACATGTGCGCCACCCTCCACTTTTTGCACTAAAGGCGTGAATGATGCTGTTGTAACTTCCCTAAATCCTAGTTTCATGAGACTTTACTTTCACACGGTTTCATTTCAAAGTCTATATTTATAGAATAAACTCCAATTGTATTAATCTTAAAATATTTAAGGTATTTTTGCATTATGCGTTTTAGTTGAAAAGTTACTCATTTATAACTACTTATTTCTGTAATTCCCCGTTTTTTTTATTGACTTTACACTCTCACAAGTACAGAGCAAGGAAATGAACTCTGCATTTAATCCATTCCTTAGGGGAGCAGTGGGCTGCCATTGTGGGGCAACCAGGGAGCAGAGTGGGCAGAGGCATAGCCAGATAATTTTTATTAAGGTGGCCAGGCACAAACCAATGTGAGGGGGGCTGAAAATTAACGAGCAAAACATCCAGCGATTCTAAATAAAGACAAACTATACTTTCCTACAGCCTTTGCTAACAAATAGACGAATATATTCATATATCCGTAATTTCTAGATAAAAGGTATAGTTTATAAAACTTTCAGTTTTGATTTCTGGGGCGTATATCTTTACCAACTTGTATCAATAAACATTCAGCATGAAATTTATATTTACAAGCACTAATATCTACATAATTTGATTATTTATGTTATTTATTATTTTTGATTTATTAAAGTTGTTGTCAATCTGTGATTTCACTGAAGACTCCTAGATGAGATGCATCATTTTCTCTTTACCCCATATAACACAAAATCTAGTTCTGAAAAGAGCATGAATTCTGTGCATATCATCTTTAATGTTTATATATTGATGTGTATAATTAACCAAAAAAATTATAAATGTTTTGAATACTCATTTGAGAGTATTACTGCTGCCACCATCTATATTAGAGTGGGGAAAAAATGGTAGGGGTGGCCAATGATTGCCTAAGGGTGGTCATGGCCACCCCTGGCCCCCCATCTAGCTCCACCCCTGAGTGTGGGGGTAAGGGTCTTGCTCAGGGAGCCAGTGTGTCAGTCTGTGGGAGTGAAGCTTGAACTCAGAACCTCTGGATTTAAAGCTCTATGCCCTAACCACTATACCACCACTCCCCTTTGATTTTATTATGCTTTATTTGACTGTATGATCTGGTTGAATTATCACTGTAAAGTGCCTTGAGATGACATGTGTTGGGAATTGGCACTAACCAAATCAGCCCCCAACAACTAAACCAACATAGAGAAGCTGTTAGGTTTCATGGGAAAACTTGGACCTAGTTCAGGTAGTATGATTGTTCACTTACAGAAATAAGTTTGTATGGTCTCCGCATGCATGCGTAGGCTTTCTCTTAGTGTTCTGACTTCTTCCCACTGTAAGTTGTTTTTCTTGTGGGTTTCTGTGTTGTCATCATGATGGAACAATCTGCCAGGGTGTACCTTGCCTCTTGCCCATAGACTAATGGAAATGGGCATCAGCACCCATGTGACCTGGCAAGGACAAGCGGTTACAAATAATTGATATAAAACACCTAATCTGAAGCTAAACCATTAAAAATAAAGCCTTGTAGTCCTGATTCATAATATCTAATTGTTTTATTTTACTTCAGTTAGGAAGTATTATTATTTGTTAAAGGTCAGAATAATGAGCTGGATTTTTTTTTTCTATGAAATTAGACACATACTGATGAGCCAGATAACTTTTTAGATAGATATTTACATAATTACTTTCTTCAGATTCAGCTATTTACATCCATGTCTGTATTATTTGGTAAAAGTAGCTTTTAAACTGTATGACGTGGTTCAAACATTTTGGGAATCTTTCCACAAACTTCTCACAACAGTTAGCTTGGATTTTGGCCATTTCTTTGAGACAAAACCAGTGTAACTAGGTCAGGATGTTGATCAACTTGCTCTCACACATGACTGCAGCTTCACTAATTAGTTTTCTACGTGCATAAGCCAAGGCCAGAAAACTGCAAAATATGAATATAATCCTGAGCTCATTTTGTCACTAAATATTGAATTTTATCTCCGTTTTTTTTCTCATTCTGTATTGAAAAGAGCCCCACTCCTTCCTGCATTCAAACATCCACTCGGCATGATGCTGCCACCTCCGTACTCCACAGTGTGTGTGGTGTTATCAAGTTTTACCATCCTCTACAACTCATCTATCATGGTTTGGGGACTCTCCAACCAACTGGAAAAGGCAGGGTACACCCTTAACAGGTGACCTGAAGGACAACCACCACCTAAGGGCACTTTGGAGACACCAATCAGCCTCACCTGACAGATAACCAGCACATAACTGCTCCCTTCACTTGTTCTGCTTACGTGTAGAAAAACCCTAAAAGCCCTGATTTGAGCCAAGGACCTTTTCGCTGTAAAGCAATATTGCTACAAAATGCACCACAGAACAGGACCAAGCATCACCCTTTTTCTTTTTGAAACCTTAGTATTTGTTTCATCAGATCAAGAGACCGAACAATTCAGGGTCTCTGTGCCCCGAGTGCATTTATTGACTGTAACATGTTTATTTCCTCACTAAGAGCCTCATAGTAACCGGGAATGTTTTACAGTTCAGTGTTTTTTTAATGCCAAACACAAAAAAATAAGCTAATAAATAAAAAATTAATGGTCTTCCTCTGTTCTTGACTTATAGGCAGGAAGTGATGGTCAGAGTATCGGCAACTGTCCCTTCTCTCAGCGTCTATTCATGGTCCTGTGGCTGAAAGGAGTGACCTTCGACGTCACCACAGTGGATATGAAAAGGTGAAGACTCTCCTTCATCTCTGTTTGTTTTTGTTTGATCTTGTGCAACGCTGCAGGTTGCTGCAGGCATAACAGAGAAAATCCTCCTATTGTGTCAAAAGGTCCCTAACTGAAGTGTTCAGAAAGAAAACGGAGCATTATGTTTTGAATTTTCTGTGTAGTTTTTGTTCTCCTCTTTGTCCATTTGTTTCTGACTCCTTTACTCCTCCTCACAGGAAACCAGACATCCTAAAGGATCTGGCTCCTGGAGCTCAGCCTCCTTTCCTCCTGTACGGCGGCGAGGTTAAAACTGACACCAACAAAATCGAGGAATTCATTGAGGAAACTCTCGCTCCTCCAAAGTAACTGCTCCCTTCACTTGTTCTGCTTAGCTATCTTTGTTCTGCCTGGTTATGCTAAAATTATCTGAAAATGTATGACATATGTAATTTTTTAAACATTCAAAGATTTTAAATCCTCCATTATATCTAATTAGTTGTAAACTCTTTGGATAAATCAAGGCAAATATCTTAGTTTTTTCTTTTAGAATTTATTTTATAATTAAATGTTTTTTTCTGAAGCCTCTTAGTGGTCTAATCTTGACTTTGGCTGCCTCTTTATTGATCGTTAGTGCCATATATAATAATTTTTCTGTCTGGAGAATACATTATTTTTAGGATTAATGGATAATTCATGAGATCCAAGTCTATTTACCTTGTTCCAAATGTTCATATCCTATAAATAGGATTTAATTATTAATTTTATTTAGATGTTAAAATATTCCTACTGCTAAAGTAATAGGCTTTATTGATTATAAGAGTCATGATAAAGTTATCTAATACTTTGTTTTGTATTTCAAAACCTAAAATAGAGAAACATGGATGTGTGTTATTTCTTTTCTCCAGAACATAATTTAGAACATTTTGAAAACATGAGTATAAAACATTTATTGGAATATATTAAGAGCAGAAATCCTCTTCTATGTATAATCTGTTGTAAGGATCTTTAGTATAAGTGGCAAAATGGTCATTTAGCCTTTCATCCAGCTAATCAGCAGTGTGCAGGAACAGGTGGGGAAAAAGCAGAGCTTCATTGCTTTATACCTTATCCAGCCAGAGATAATTTAAGTAAATTAATCTTGTATCTCAATAAAAGGACCTTAAATAGTAGGAAAACTCTATGAAAACTATGTTATAAAATTTGCTTTAAAAAATAAAATGATAGAAAATTAAATAGTGTTATTAAAATTATAAAATTAAGTTTAATCAAAGTTAGTTAAGAAGCAAACATAGCATTACATATACAATTTTAACAGAATGATAATATAAAAGTTTAAAAAGTGGGCTTTTTATTGAAAACTAGCTTTGAAGCTGAACTGATATTAAACTGAGTGGATAAGATGCCAAAGAGACTGATGTAAAAAGCACAACGAATCAAAACTCAACCCCAGTTTACCTTCATTGGATGAACAGATGGTAAATCCTTATATGGTTTAATTTTCACATAAATATTTCATACTTAAAGGTTCTGGATATTATTACAATTTGTATTTATTTATCTAAATGGAAAAATGTGAATAAACCTTAAAAATTGGCCCAGTTGGGTTTAATTTCCCTGCTCATGATATAGATTAATTTTATTATGTCCAGAAATGTTCATAGAAAAGTTTGGAATATTTTGATATTGCTAAAGACCAAAAAACTAGTATCCATATACATCTCTTTATTATTCAGTATTGTGAATGTAACTGCATGTTTTCTTAATTGCAACTTAAGCATCAATGAAGATACTTTGAAATTATTTCTCAGCTTTAAACTATAGTAGTCAGTGCAGCTCAATGCACCCCATCAAGCAGGCCTCACATCTCCTGCTGATGGAGTGGTGATTAATTGGTGCCCAGCAAAGTCTTGCTTTTGTTGCACAGAAGGAATCAGCTTGTGACCTTTAGATTTGGACCTTGTGGTGATCGATTTGATACTAGGGAAGCACTATCAAAAGACTAGCAGTGGAACTGTCATGGTTTTATACTTTAATGGCTGCAGGGATGTACTGAAAATAAGTAACAAAGCAGCTAAACACAAGAGGGTTTCTGAAACAGGATAATCTCCTGAAGAACTGTTGTCCAAGGCTTAAAACATGAGAAAGTCTAAGAAATTAGGGCTTGTTTACAGCAGTTATTTGTATATTAAATTATATTTTATATATATTATTTAAAGAAGACTTATACAAAAGTTAGCTGCAGTTTCTTTTTTATGCACTCTCAATAATTTTTTGTTGTTGTTTTTGTAATTGACCATCTGTCCGTCTCTTAGATATCCCCGTCTGGCTGCTCGTAATCCGGAGTCCAACACAGCAGGAGTGGACGTCTTCTCCAAGTTCTCTGCTTACGTCAAGAACTCAAACCCTCAGACTAACGACAGTAAGCATTTGTCTGCTTAAAGATATGATGTCTTCACAGGAAAGCAAAATGGTCCAAATGTTAATCTCAGACTTAAAATAAACTGTAAGGAGTGTCTGTGAATATAACATTACACTTAGCTGATCCGCATTCGTCAGTATTGTACACTCTTCACTGTTCTTAATCAGTTTATCTTTTGTTGAAAGATATTCTGTAGCTTTAGGTGTATGTGTTTGCACTCAGATCTAGAGAAAGGCCTTCTGAAGGCTCTGAAGAAGCTGGACGACTACCTTGGCTCCCCACTTCCTGACGAGATTGACGAGAATAGCGCTGATGAGGTCACTTCCTCAACACGCCCTTTCCTGGATGGCCAAGACCTAACTCTGGCAGACTGCAACCTGCTGCCAAAGCTGCACATTCTGAAGGTAATCTTCTCAGTGTGTGGGGTTTATCCTCACCGTGGTTTTCCTGATGCACGCCACTCAAACGGCTCCTTTTTTTTAATCCCCCTCCTGTTGCAGGTGGTGTGTTTGAAGTACAGAAAGTTTACCATTCCCGAGTCTCTGACAAACGTCTGGAGGTACCTGAACTCTGCATATGCCAGGGAGGAATTTAGCTCAACCTGTCCGATCGACGAGGAGATCCACATGGCTTACTCATCTGTAGCTAAAGCTCTCAAGTAGGAAGAGGATGCACAATGTGAAAGTAAAAAGAATAATCCACACAGACGACAGTTAAGCAAATATTCACTCTGTAAACCACCCAGATCTGTTTCCCTGACGATGGGTGTTCCCTTAAATCCATGTTTACCTTTTAATACCATTGGAAGTCAGAGATCACACCCACCCACAGGTGTATCTTTGTACTTTAGACAGGATCCGTTTACATCAGCAGGGAGGTGAGGGCAGGTGTAGACAATCCAGGAAAAACTCTTCGGATTATATTTTTAAAAACATTTAGCAAAACATATTTTTACAAAAAAAATTTTTTTTACTGATGCTTTTTTATTGTTTTACCTTTATTTATGTACTTCATCAAGTCAATTCAGAGGTAGGTTTTATGAGGTTCTAAAATACAATATGGGTCCATTTATTCTCACCTTAAAAGAGGTATCTGCCACTAACATAGCAAAATAGTGCTTTATTTAAATCTTAGTATGGCATGAGATTCTACCTGAATGATAACCTTGAGATAAAAAAAAAAAGTTTAAGATAAGATCACAATACAAAATAGTGTTACACAATAATTTCTACTCCTGCTGAATTTCAACAGTTGCCGTGACACCAGCTGCTCCGTCCCGGATGTACAATCCGTACCATCTCAAAATCTCAAAAATACTAGGCGTCCTAAAATATAATGTGTTAAAGATTAAAAATATATTTCCTGAAAAAATAAATGCCTTAAAATCTTTTCTGTTTTATCAATCATCTGTGCCCAACATGCACCAAAAATGACATCCTACGCTACTTCTGGGGGGTAACCTTTTTAGCTTTGGATTTACACATAAATCTAAGCCTTTTTGAGTTTAATATTTTCCTTTCGTGTTAACATTATGGTATATAGCGCATAATCTAAAGAAAAAAAGCAAGTAAAATGCAGATAAACATGGTTTAATCATATTTTGCGGGACAGCTCTGAGCATATCTGATGATGACGTCAGAGAAGCAGTTTAATGTAGAAAATGTAAAAAGCATCAAAATTATCTCAGAAAAGTCATAAAACAATATCAGCTTTTAGACTCAGCAGGGAGAAAAAATTCAACAAATTGGGTTCCTTTTTTAAAAGAAAACTGTAAGTAACAAGCTCGCTTCAACTTTCTAGATTTCAAGTCTCCAACAGAAAATTGTTCTTCAGCCATTTTCATTTCTGTTACTTCAGCACTAGAAGAAAAAAATAATGTTTTTCTAGTTTTGGTCACATCTTCAGCATATACACATCAATGTTTTGCCCTTCTCCAGTTTTATATATTCTCGAGGAGTATTATTTGAACAGACACAAAGCTGTCTTCCTGATTAAACTTTCATTTCATTTAGAATTACCTTTTTCAATGTTCAATTAGAGAAGGGATATTTTCACACCAGCAAAGGTTTACCTGCCAAGGAGTCATTTTGAGGTTTAATCACAGCTGTTTCCTGCAGATTTTATTATGGACAAAACAAAGCTCTTTACTGTTGGACATTATGCATTTTAAACAAAGTTCATATTCATCATGGTGCATGCCAGAGAGGAAAGCCGCACAGACTGAGGCAGCACCGAAAACAGTTAAACAGGAAACTGTTTCAATAGACGCGGGTTTCCCCTTCCTACGCTCCTGAAGCAAGCGTGACGGATTATTTAAGATTAGTGAGCGTGTTTGTGATCCGCTTTGAAGGCCTCTTATTAATAATCACATCAATAGAAGGGAGGCTGTGAGTATAAAGACTTCTGTAAACTAAAAAAGGAGAAGGTTTAATAAAAATACATTTTAAAAATGAAACCAACTCGTTAGCTTTTTTGCTTTCACTATTATTTAATACTTTATCACTGCACCTGTATGAGGCGCAATAAAGGACGTATCAAGGAATGGTGGAATTAGACCTGGACAAGTTTTAAACTGTAGCTCCAAGGGACAGTGCTGAGATTTTTACACTCATCATAACAAATGGAGGATTAGATAGCTATCATATGCTTTTCTGGCTGTAAAAAAGAAAAATAAACATTTTGGCATTAGTGGCATTTTTTCTCAAGGTTATCAGGATGTCAGAATTTTATACTGGATAGTCTAAATTAACTTTTGTTTCCTTCCTTGTAAAGCTAAGACATATCCTGTTTTGTTTTTGCCAGAATAATCTCAGTAACAGAGGATAATTAATAGAAAAAAAATGTATAAAAATAATGGTTGCAATGTAATTATTCTGGGGAGCCCCCTTAAAAAAGCCAAATATAGCAGCATTGTTTGCTTATGCTTTCAGCTAGCCCTCACCTTGTTGCTGTCAATGAACAGGATATTGAGTAGAAATAAACCAATAAAAAAACCAAGTAAAAATTTAGTCCCACTAAAATTGTACAGGAATCTATCCTATATACCCCTTTTTGCTGAATATACATTATATTTTTTTTGTTGCATTTTTTTGTAGTGAAGTTCAACATTTGTAATAGGTAGGCTTTATGTTTCGGTTAAATCAAATTAAGTAAGCATAACAAGTATATGTCTTTGTTACATCTAAAATACAAGGTAGTCTAGTTTTCTTTTGTATGTTAGAACTTTTTATTGAGTTCTAAAACATGTCGTTTATATACCACTGCCAGCCTTATTCTCATCCAAGGGGATGTAAGATTCACAAATCTCACTTGTAAAACAATCTTGAACTAAATAGAAATGGAGGGATCCAGAGCTATTAACACATTTTGCTCGGATGAGTAATAGAGAGTTAAGGTTGACCTCAAGGCACCATATAAGTTCACATTTCAAGAGGCTGTATGGATGTTAAGCTCTTTTAATGTGTTGAAAATAATACCGAAGTGCAATTAGAAAATCCTGTATGCATAGTTTGTTTATATTGAATTAGACATTAGTTAATTAACTCAAATAAAACAATTTTTTAATTTTTTAAAAAAGGTTGGATTACAGATTTGTATTTTTAAGTTGACTGAACTGCTGTGGATTTGATCTGCTTTTTTATATGGTCTAATTTTAAAGGGATCGAGTCTGAATAATTTCACTGTTTATTATTTCAAGTGTTTTTCTCCAGGTATTGAGGAAATTCTCACTTTTTAATATATATTTAAAGCAAATGTAGGGACATAAAATGTTTTTGGATTTCTTCTTTTTAGTTTCTGTTTCACATGTGGACATTGTGCTTTTCCCCACTGTTGTCTTAATGCTTTGGCATCATGAAGTTAAAAAGCATCTGCACTTGAAAGTCCAACGGATTAAAACAACCGCATGGGCACCAAACCAGTGAAGACAATCAAACTCACTGTTGAAAAATGTTTTTTACTTTTATTAATGTTACAATTAAAAAAAAAAATCTTCATAATAAAACATATGAAATCTTTTTTGTTTAGAGGATTGCTTCATTGAAATGTTCACACACACACATGGACACACACACACACACAAAAATTGTGAAGTAGTAATGCAAACTCAAACATAAGCTGTTAAAAGATATTCTGTGCTTCAAATTTGTGGTAACAGCCTGGTTCTGTTGTAGGTTTCTTCCTGGTAAAAGGGAGTTTTTCTCTCCACTGTTGCAACATGCATGCTCTGTCTGAGGGATTGCTGAACAGTCAATTGCCCAATCCCAAACCAGCCCCTAAGCACTAACCCCCCCGTTTGCACATTCCTGCAGAGGGTCTGCCACATTAAGTGCCATCCCAAACCACATAGTGGGTAGGCTGAATGGAATAGCTATTCTGCATAAGGGCAGGCCTCCTGGAATTTGGTATAACAGCAGCTTGACTGTCGAGGAAACGTGCATTTAAATGTAAGTTCCATCGGTTTGCTGCATGCTCATCACACTGACGAAAAATATCAAATTGGGTATAAGAAAGCGACATAATTAATTCCAAAAGGGAAGGTCCTCTTTGAAATAGTTTTATCTGCATGCATTTGTTTTAAGAAAGGGGAAAATGTTGTATTTTATATCACCTTGCACCAGAGAGCTACACCCTCACACATGTGTTGACCACTGCTGTGAAGTCACCAGCCGCCATATTGGTACTCCATAGTTAGACTGGACGGAGTGTAGACAATACGTGCGCTACAGCGTCTAACAATGATAATGTTCTCATTTTCAGGGGGGCTTAAGACTTAAAGATAAAGCCACCACTTTGACACACACTTGCTGTTTCAGCATAAGTAGGTTTATGTAATTTATGGTAAAAAAAAAATAGGCACATCACGTTGCCTATTCAGTATGAAGTCTATAAATCATGTAATATAATATATTCAAAGCCATCACAACAAAATTAGTGTGTTAATGGTGCATAATAATACTGTAGTCAGATATTAAGAATATTACACACGCACACAAATATGCTCTTATGATGTGTCAAAAGGGCTAAATTAAGGATGTACATGTAATATACATGTATCGATTAATTTTTTGTAATTCGATAATGGTATTAACATTACATTACAGGCATTTTTATGGCGCGACTCCATTAGAGTGGGGAGTACCAAAATGGCTGCAGGTGACTTTTTTCAGGAATCCATTGAATAAATAGAGATACGTGGTGTTGCCTTAGCAACCACTACTCTCTTTTCCGTTAAAGGGAAGAGGCTGTCCCAATCTTGTTTATATCCTCCACACCTTTAATCAAGGCGCATCTCAACAGCTGTGAATGTGACTTTATTGCAAGTGAGAGCAGTTTAGGATTCAACCAATGAGTCGGTGCAATCAGTTGGTTTTCCTGAGATAGAAAAACAGCTGAACCAATCTGACTGTATGATCTGGTTGAATTGTCTCTGTAAGGTGCCATAAGATGACATGCGTTGTGAATTGGTGCTATAAAAATAAACTCAACTGATTGAGGAATCTTTATGTAGGAGGTTTTCTTATATTTGTTGAGTTTGTTTGCTTATTTCTTTAAGGAGATTTTTGAACAAGCTTTGACAGCTGATGATAAAAGCAATCAGCTGTAACCTCAGCAGACTCCATAAAATCTGGAACGACAAAAACATATGACCTGCAGGAGGTTGCTGATTGTCTTTGCTTTAAAAAGTTTTAATAATTGTGAAAAATAAAGTTAGATTTAAATATTACTATATTTTATTATATTAGTTATATTCAGTATTTCAAAGATTTATAAGTTGTGTTAATTGTACAATGGATGCTTGTATGAGCAAAAATTGTAGAAGAATAAAAAAAAAAAGCAGTGGAGCTAAAAAGGAGGATTAAGGAACCATCCTTACATTATGTTAATAATAACGTTGACTGTGCTGTTACACTCACAAGGATGGGTGACACTGCAAAAATATCGTTTTTTTTTTTGTTTTTTTTTATACTGAACTTTATCTTTTTAAAAACAAAAAATTTCCTCTTTTTTCATGTCCTCTGGACGACCTTAAAAAAAACATTTTGGCCATAATTGCATATGTTGTGATGAACTATAACCAATTTTTCTATTAAAATCTTTGAAAGTCAACTCCAAAGTAATAAAAAAATGGAGAGGATCTGTGGTAAGCTCAGCTGCTCAGGCCAGCAGCAGGGTGACAGTAGACAGCAGGCAGAGCGCTGCTCCCCTCCAGCTGAGGATGGCAATGGACTCGGCTCTGTTGCAAAGGTCCGTGTCGCAGCAGTCATTGGTATAGTTAAAGTAAACCCCTGAGGTGTACTTCTGGCCGGACAGGCCACACTGTGACTGTACGGCACAGCTCTTCTCATATATGGTTAGCTGAACAGCACCTGTTGAGGCAAACAGGACAGATACCAAGGAATTAGCTGAGAAGGTGCTGAAAATGGTTAATAAGGTTAATAATTAATCTTTAGCTGTACAGATTCATTACCAAGTACCAAGGATTTTCTGTACTCTTTTTTTCCATGCACTTGATCAATACCATACCAGAATTTCTAAGTTTTTTCAATTTATATTGTATGATGTGTGCTTTCCTCCTCTGTCTAAAGATAGGCATTTCCAGAGCATAATGCCACTCCCACATATACTTACTGGATGGTTGTTTGTGGTTAAATCCAGTTTAAGTTTTTTAGTAGGCAGTAATGGCGTAACTTTCTGAAGGACTGGTGTGGACATGTCCCCACCAACTTTGGGCATGGAGAGGACAGTCCCCACCAATAAATTTCTGCTTTTTTCCTCCTTTCCACTGATTTACTTCAGCCAACAGTAACTGGGTTTGGGTGCAGCTGTCTGTATTCAGAGAATTTTCAGTCCGGGTTTTTTTCCTGTGCCAACAACCCAGAGACAGCCAGACTCACAGGACACAGACTGAAAATTAAAGTATAAGAAACCTACAAGAATTAAAGCACAAATAATAAAAATCTGCGTATAAATGATTTTTGAAATATAAGGTTAAATATATAGACTTTGGCTGTCAATGACATATGGGACACATTTCTAAATTAGATTTTGCTGCTTGTGAAGGAGGATCATCACTGATGCAGGTTAAAGGGAAGCCATGCATGGATGGATGGATGGAATTGAAGTTGTGTTCATTCTAGGGATGCATGATAAATTGATGTTGGCATTGGTATCGGCTGTTATTCGTTATTTTTTATACATTCATGTTTTTGAGCCCTTCATAAAATAACGCACTAAGGGCAGGCATCTGTCTGTAACTATAAATATCAGTTTGCTGTGGTTCTCTTGTGTTCTCAACAATAAGAAAGCATTCAATAAATATATGTTTGAGCTCATTTTTGGAAAATATAAACCTTATTGAAAGCGTTCAGGTTGACTAGCTGTAGGTCCATCAGCCACTATCCTTAGAGCGTCCCCACCAACTTTTATCGCAAATTACACCCTTGGTAGGCAGACAGTAATTTTAGATGTTGGTCAATAAATTAATTTTGAAAGACTTTGCTGTTTCTGATTACACTTTCCTACAAGAGCCGTGGATCCCCTTGGCTCCTCCAGTTCATGAACCTCCTGGCTGCTTGTCTGATTAATGTTCCTCTCGTTTTGACTGCCATTTTAAATGGGCTGCCATATCTTTGTAGATCTGTGGTTGTCCCATATTAATTCATTTTTTCATATGATGGATTGAGCAGAGCTCTGTAAGATGTTCAGGACATGGTATACGGATTGAAGCTTCTCCCAAACATTCTCCCTGACCCAACTTTTCTCCTCTGTCTTTGTGATGCTGTTTTTTTCACAATTTTTTTCCAGAAACCTTTGCAGACCAGCTGAATTTATACTTGTAGATTACATTAAGATTTGGAGACTTTTATTTAGACGTAGTTGAGTGAGGGGACCTTAACTAGTGTCATATATATTTAGATGTAAATGGAATAAATGTTTTCCTGTCTTGTCATCCTTCTAGCTTGGTCTATCCTAAAGTCCTAATGAAGCATCTTTGATATATGACAAAATATGAAAAACTTCATAGTGCAAAGACCTAAACATTTCAGCTGAGGCAGCGAGGAGTCATCTTTCTGATTTAGAGAAAATGTTTTCCCTTTATGTGTGACATTAATCATCTACTAAAGCATACTTTAAAGTTTTAGGTATCTGGTATTTTACACTATCTATTTTCACAAGTTTAAATTTGTTATTTTAATCTCTTATTTAACCTGGTAATGTCTGGTGAAAGCACATTAAATCTCTTTCTTACTGTAGGTCTTTTTGCATCAAGCTAATACCTCATAAGGCACTAACTATGAACTATCGCATGAGAAAAATCAATTTAACAAAGTACTTCACATAAAATTTTAGATTTTAAAGTCTTAAATGAGGACAGTTTATTAGGACCTGTGTGAGTCTGTTAGTATAAACTGCGAGCTTTGCTTGAGACCTTTTACCTCTGATGAAGCAGAGCCAATATCTTGTCCACTCCCAGAGATCTCAGGGGGTTATTTTTAGATGATTTAATCACATTAAATCTCTCAGTGAGCTGTCAGCCGGCCTGATGAGAAACGGTGCTGAGTTCTAAAACGTTGAGTCACCCTTTTGTTTTGCGTAATCACAGACAGAACCAGAAATATTTGATTCTCACCACAGCAGGTAAAAGGACATGAGTTTATATCAAATATCAAATGTAACCAATGAAGGACTGAAAGATCTAATGCTGTCTTGTGCATAAAGAGTGGTATGATTCTTGGACCCATTTCAACAAAATAAATAGTCCTATTTTTTAACCTGTTCCAATAAATTTCCCTGAACAGCAAGACTTTTATTTTGACAGGTTTTGAATCTTAGCATTTGGATAATTAACTATGCAGATGCAGAAAGAGAAACATCTGGATCTGACCTCGCCTTCCTGTTGCCACACTGGAGAGGCAGCGCTGCCCTGCAGGACATTCCAGAGGAAACTTCAAGCAGTCCAAGGGGGATATGGCAGGAAACACACAGGTGTAACACTTCAAACAGCCTGGGAACAAATAAAGTGCAGCCTAACATTAGATATCTATTTCATTTCTGCAACCGAACTATCTGATTATGTGCCTTTAACATTGATTTAGATTTATTCAAATTAATTTGTGCTGTATTTGATCAAAACAGACAATTTTGAAAACAAACAGAAACGAGAACAATTAAAAAATATATAAACCACAAAAATATCATATTCTTGCATCCTACATTATACACATTTCCCAAATAGTTGTTGCAGGCTTTTAACTTTTTACAGATACATTTAACTTACTGATTTACAAACAATTGGTCTGGTTAATTGCTCCCCCTAGTGGACAGGATGTTATGTTTAAACAATGTCGGTTTACTTTTTTGTTTAAAAAATGTGTCAAAGAAAAAAAGGTTAAAAAATGTATTTTTTATAAGAACATTTTAATTGTTTTTGCTCTCTGGTGTATTGTAATTTAAAGGGTAAGGATATACAACACTGAAAATAATGTATTAGCAAAAGAAAAATATTGAGATTAAAAGATTATGAAAAAATTTACTTTACAATACATCAGCTGAACTCTGATTTTTTTTTTTTCAAAAGTCAAAGAGGTCCCAAGCAATAGTTCCTTTAAAGTTTCTCAAAGTTTTTCTCCATTTGTTTTATTTTTTATTTATTTTATTCACATGCCATGCCCTTCCTTCTCTCACTTCATAACTCTACTCTTAGGTCATATTTTTCTGTTTAGGTTATTTATTTATTTACAAACTGTGGAAATAATCATAAAATGCTGAAAAAAGAAATAATAATAATCATAATTTTGCTGCATATTTTGAACCGGCAAACTTTGTACAGGAGATTTGTGCCACATGTCTTTAAAAACATGGAGAAAATTATAAAGGTGAAAAGAAATGGAAATATGTGAAGACTATTGACTGTAGAACTAGGATACTTAAGGAAATTCAAAATAGATGTTAGCATCAACTATTTTACATTATTAAACCACATTAAAATGGATGCCGATGTAAAGTTAAAGTTCAGATATCTCCAAAAAGAGGTGAGGCTCCTGGCAACATCTAGAAAGACCAGTGGAAAGGTTTCTCTGAAGCCTGTAACCATTAACCTGGTGCTGTTGGCTTGTTGTGCAGCACCATTTAACAGCTGTGGTATAAAAGTAATCATTAAAAGCCTCAAAACGGTGAGATATTTACATTTAAGTCATTGAGGGTGCAGCACATGGCCCAGCGTTAGCAGCAGGACTTAAATACGGAGGCCTTAGTCCGTTATGCAGCCATCCTAGGTTTTGGTCCTGACCCTTTTATGCTTTCCTCTCTCTCTCTGTCTTATTTCATGTCTGTTAACCCTGCAAATAACAGTCTCTATTGCAATAAAAGAATAAAATAATAAGCCATTTGAAGATTAATTCAGTAGGGGATGGAGAGGGGGGGATTTCCCTAAGTGAGTCATAAATGTATTTCAGCTGAAAAAGTATTGTTTAGTAATGCAACGATGGACACAGATTTTCTAAAATTTATTTTTCATTTAGTTTATTTGATGTTTAAACATGTTCATGTAGAATAAATCTACAGTTATAACTGCCAACTCCGAATGAAAGAAATCGTTTAGACAGAAACACATTTCTATCATGCATACGCGTGATTTCATTTAATCTCCTAAGTGTCTAGATTGGAATATTTTCCAGTTGGTTTAGTGAGAGATAATGAACAAACTCCCTTGTGAGCAAATCTGAGCCACTGTACTAAAAGACCCAAATTCAGTCCTTCTGTTTACTGTTAAATCAGTTCATAAACTAAATGTAAACTAAAAGCAGAGTTACAATTACAGAACATTGATTTTCTCTGTGCATGATTGTTTTCCACCACAAATCTAAAAGATATATTGTTTTTAGATGTCCATTTCTTAGGAAGAGGCTGAGTTCCAGTGACACCCGCTGCTGGATCTCCTAAACACTTCAAGATGCTGAAGGGGAAATTCCTACCTGCCAAATGAAGACAACTAAGGAGTCCAATAAGAATCTGTAGACGAGCCATGATCCTTCCTTAAAATCCCTCTGCTCAGTTTTCCAACAGGAGTGGCACTATGGAAGCCTTTCTCTGTATCCTAAAACTCTGGAGCAGCTTGATCTGACTCGTCCTCTTGCTCATTCCCTAATTACATTCCCCGTCTACTTCTGCTGACTTCTTTTTATATTCCTATTAAGTTGATAAAAGATGATTCCTCCAGCGATTCTGTCTTCAGATCACCTGAGCGTCTCCTCACTCTTGTCCTCTTTTTCTTCTTAGGACAGTGATGGGGAGCGTCTCCTCCACAGAGTTTCTAATTTGATTTAGAGAGATAACTACTAACAGCTGACATCCTGAAAAACACGTGTAAAGAATTCAATTTATATCCCGTATGGATAGTTTTCATGAAGCTTAGCAGGCTGTAACAGTTACAGCCTTATCAGAATGACTACATGATTTTACAATAAGATAAAAGAGGAAGGAATAATAAACAAGATCAGCAGGCCTGACAAAAACAGAGAAAGAAAACATTTCTGTGACTAAAGATAAAAAAGTAGAAAGGCTGTGGTCAGATATTTGGATTTTAAATAATTAGATCCTTACCAACTTTGTTTCCATGAGCTGCTCCCCAAGCCACAATTAAAATATTAAAGTTAAAAGGAAGTGACCATACTAACATCAAATGGTATTTTAGGACCATACAGCAGAGGATCAGCTAAAGGTGATTCATATGTCAGGATTATTTCTGGTTGTTAAAGTTTGTCTTAAAATATTTGAATAGTGTTGAAATAATATTTAATTTATTTTATGTTTCACTACCACAGTCTATATAGGTCCTGGAATAAGGGAATTTTACTACTGAAACCCATCTCCAGTGTTTTCACTGTATTTTGATATAATAGAAAGATAAATCTCTGATTTTTTACATTGATGTTTAATGAAAAACACGTCTATTTCTGGTAAACCCAGTATTCTGCAGCCTCTAATGGGTTTTATAAATGATTTTTTTATGAAATCTGAAATTTGTTACAGTGTTCTTTTTTTTTTGTAATGGCCAGTTTCACAGTCCCCTCCTCTAGAGTTCTCCCTTATGTGTCTGCTGTGTTCTTTGCTCTTCATGCTTTCTTTTCTCTTTACAGAACAGATGGATTTATACTGATTACAGTTACTCACAGCTGCTCTTTGTTAATTTTGTTCTTTTCTGTATCGCCATGTTTATGGTTGCTCAGGATTTATTTACAGGCGCTTAAGAAAAGGAAGCTAAAGACGAATCTCCAACCCATTTTTAAAAAACTATAAAAATGTAGAAACAATGCATACTTTTTTCTTTGTGGTCTTTCCCTTTTTTAAATAATTGAACTTTATTGATCTCAAAATGGAGAAATTAACTTCTGCATCTTAACCCATCCCCTTGGGGAGCAGCGGGCTGCCACTGTGCGGCGCCTAGAGAGCAATCAGGGGTTAATGGTGTGGGGAACGAACCAGGTACTTTCAACCTTTTTAGAGCACAAGTGCACGGCTGTAACCACTAGGCTAACACTCCCCTTACTTAACAAAATGTAAAAGGTTTAAAGGTAAAATATACCTATATAAGGCAACATAATATCTATCCATATCAGATTAGTAATTGTTTTAATATCTGTTCAGAATTGCACCCATTTTTACACATGAAAAATGTGTAAAAATTGTCTAAAAATTGTTATTAAACATAAACCTGACGTATTCTCAACTTATTTTTAAAAATTAAGCAATAAAAATGCATCAGTGCAATTAAGGAAGAAATAAAGAAAGAAAAAAAGATGCAGGAATCTGGTGAAAGGGAGCCTGCAAACTTTTGGGCAAATGTACTTTTAACTCCTAGAGGAAGTGTATCAATGTGTGGATCAATGATGTTTTATATTAAATGGTGGAAAGTTTATTGATAACCTCGCCCATTGATAGCCTCGCCCACATCACAGTTTCAGTTCATTAGTTTTTGTCAAGCCTGAGGTAAAAACAAACAATGAAAAGCATCACTGCGCTTATATGCAAAGAGGGAAGTAGGAGCAGTAAAGTCAGCAGGGAGTGTCAGCAGATAATGAGAGAAAGTCAGCATGTTGTGAATAGACAGAGGCCCAGTGAGCCGCTGTAACTGAATCATCCTTCACGCCATAATGGGAGACGTGAGGCCAGCAGGCAGGATGGTCTGCTGACCGAAGTCTTGTGATGGAGACAGTCGAACAAAAGCTCGGACTCAACAAGCTGTTTTCCAGTCGGTTAATTGCACAGAAATCCAGAAAACAGACTTATTTTAAGGTTTCTGTTCATTTATTCTAGTAAAAATATATTCTTTCGAGAATAAAGACAGTGCCAGTCCTAAATGGTTTGAAGCCCTTAGCAGAAAACTTTTTTAAGGGACCGCTTCCAATTAAACCCACCAGCCTAACACATAATCACGTATATCTAAAAGATCTCAAAATCCACCTGTATGTTATTTAATCTCAGTATTCATTTGGCTCTTAAGGCCTCGCAGGGTTGGTTGAGAGAATTAGTATGCAAACAGCATAATAAAGACCAAGAAACAAACTAGATAGAGGAAGTTGTGGAGAAATTTGGAGCATGGTTGGGTTGTAAAATGATATTCACCACTGTTTGATCATGCAAACCTACATGGCTATCCACCTAAACCAACAGGATGGACACAATGCCTTATTTAGAGAAGCAGGCCAAAGGTCCATGGTTGCTATGGAGGAGCTATAGAGAGAGTTGAGGGGATAAATAAAACACAAATCTAATGTTTATAGGTCAGGGTGGAGGTTTGCCCTCCATCAGGACAGCAGCCAAAAAGACACAGCCAGAGGTATAAAGGTAATAATTACATGGATTACATAAAAAGGAAGCTAAGCAGCAGCTTAGTTCACTTATGCCTTGGGCTGGGTTTGGCTCCAACAATAACTAATCAGCTTGTTCTGATACTGTTGAGAATTTGCTGCAGGTTTGTATGGTTTCATTGTTGTAATTAAAACTTATTTATCATATTTTTCAACTCATAAGTCTTTTTAAAAATGAGAACGAAAAAAATTAAAAGAAATCCTTCTACAAGCAATAAATACATTGAACCTACTATTCATAATTTTGGGGGGTTTTTTTTAGAGCGAAACAAAGTTCTTGAATGATTTCAATAATGATATTATATCCTATTTTAATTATTCAACAGATTTTGCGTATGATTTGCATCCTTTCTGAAGCATCAGGACAGATGGAATCCTTTAATCCTGTCTGTGGCCTGAGCGTCCCATCCTGCTTGTCGTTCTGTTAAGTCCACATCACATTTTCTGTGTGCTTTCCAGATCTGCCTTAAAGTCTGGCCCCATGTTGCAGTAACTCAGCCCCGACACAAAAAGAGAATATTGTGCATCCCTCTATTATATCCACTAAATCACTGCCCGGGTTAAATCTACAAAAATTACTGGATAAGTTCAAATATGGTCAGTATTTCTCTGGTTGCAGATTAGGTGACCTCATTATCTCTATTGCTGCATCATTTGACCCACATTCTAGAAAATGATTGTTTATATTTTGGCATGGCATAAACAATACCATTGATACAGGCTTAAGAATTTAAACTAACGTAAATTAATTTAAATGTAAAATTATCTGATTTATTGCAAACCATTTCTTTTTATAATGAATTTAAAAATATTCAGACAGCTCGTGGGCTTATAGAGGCAGTCATTTAGGATTACAGGGGGAGGGGACATTAAGAGGCGTCCTTAATCTTTGAAAACACAAATCAGTTGTCTGAAAAAAGGAGGGAAACCCAGTTTGGCTGCAGCAGGGATTAATAAAGAGGAGTCCAAAATACTGAACTCTTGTTTAGCTTGTGTTTTGAAAAGAGACCATGCTTTTAAGAAATAACAGCCTTAACACAAATCCAAGAATAATAGATCGAAATTTATTTTGCTTTTTTTATCAAATGGTTTAGAACTTCTTATGCAATAAAGTTGCTGCATGAGTTCTGTTGATTTTTCTCTTTTCTTTGTCACATTTTAATTAGCAAATCAGTTGATTTTTTATTTCTAATGTGATATTATTATGTCTCTTGTCGCATTTTGTTAGGTGTGTCTTGTACTTGCACTAACATTTTTCGTCACATTGTTTCTTTCTTTTTTAATTAAGATAAAAAATTTTAAATATAAAGCAGGTTTAACTCAGTTAAACCTACCTCAGTTATTTGTGCTGGTTTTGCATAACAGTATATTTTGTTATCCTATGTTAAATGTCACTTTAAGAATAAAAAATAACTATATAGAATCTAGTACTGAGTAATTACGGAAGAGGATTAGGGCCACTGGATGATTATTTTATTTCAGTATAATATGAGAAAAAAGTCCGAACTCTGAGATTAAAGTCAGAATTCTGAGAATAAAGTAAGAATTCTGACTTTTTTCTCACAATTCTGACTTTATTCTCAGAATTTTGACTGAATTCTGACAGCTAACAAACATGTTAGCATCAAGCCATTGCCATGTCTGTTTTAAAGACCAAACTAGCTCTCTTGTTTTAATCACCTTCTGTTCTTCCATTAATTTAATAGCATCACGTAAAAAGTTGCCTAATTCCGTAATTTTCCACCAATGGTGTTACTGGCCCTCCCAAACAACTCACATCTTCCTTCATGGTGCCAATCTACATTAAAAAAAATCAGAATTCTGCGATTAAAGACTGAATTGTGAGAAAAAAAGAAATAATTCTGCGATTAAAGACCGAATTCTGAGAAAAAAGTTAGATTTCTGAGATTAAAGTCAGAATTCTGAGAAAAAAAGTCAGAATTCTGAGAAAAAAGTAAGAATTCTGAGATTAAAGTCAGAATTCTGAGAAAAAAAGTCAGAATTCTGACTTTATTCTCATATTATACTGAAATAAAATTTAAAAATCAGTCCACCTTTTTTTTCAGTGGCCCTAATCCTCTTCCGTAGATTAGGACTAATTAGGAAGAACCTGGATATAAAACAACAGCGTCTGTGAAACATCAAATCAACGCTGATGGAGTCTGGGCAGGACGGTGGGGGATGGGGGGCACAGGGGTGTTAAGCAACTTTTAAATATACGACCAAACCGGAAGTCTTTTAACATGGCTTTACAAAATAAAAGTAGAATGACCATCTCGCTGTTAACTGCCATGTAAATATTTATGTTGTTTTATTTGCACTTCGAGTATATCATGGACAAAAAAAAGATAGCACAACCTATCAAGCTTTGAGATCTTTATCAGTGCTCTTCGTCATCCAGTAATCTCTGTGTAGACCTATGTAATATACACAAAAAAGAAAATAAAACTCCTCTTTCATTATCCTGCCCTTCAGCCCAATAAATGTGTTTGCTAATACTAACCAACCTGAAATCAGGACATTTGGTCTGACTTAATGTCAGAGAAACTTTAAGGCAGAGCAGAGGCTGATTATAGGCTACGAGTGGCTATGGCCCTCCATTTTAGATTCCCCATGGTGCAACTTTTCGAATTAAACTTCACAAATAAAAACAGGTTTGAGAGTGTAGGGTTTTGACAACATCCCAATTTCTTGTTTTTTATACAGCCAAAAACATAATTTATGAAGAAACAATGAAGAAGTAATGGCGTATTACTTGTGGGGCTTGTCGATTTTCAGGGAAAACCACATAATTTCATGATAAAGGTGACAGGGCATAGTCTCTTTCCTGGCTTTGGATATAGGTATATACGGAGCCCCTCTGATGACATGGTCAAAAAA